TGTGACTTATGGGGTCTTGCTCCTACTCAATCTACTTGTCACTTCTTATATTATGTTATTTTTGTGGATGACTATAGCACGTATACTTGGCTTTATCCCATTCATAGAAAATCTGACTTTTTTAATGTTTTTCAAAAATTCAGAATAATGGTTGAGAACCAATTTGAAAGAACGATTAAGATTTTCCAATGTGATGGTGGAGGAGAATTTGCAAGCAAACAATTTCTTGAACAGCTTGCAAGAAGTGGAATTAAACTACAAGTCTCTTGTCCTGGTACGCTAGAGCAAAATGGGATAGCAGAGAGGAAACACCATCACATTGTAGAAACAGGTCTTACATTACTTATACATGCAAACATGCCTCTAAAATATTGGGTTGAAAGCTTCTCGACAGCTACATACCTCATAAACAGGTTGCTAACACCTATATTGGGTAACAAAAGTCCTTTTCTTTGCTTATTTAATAAAACACTTGACTAATCAATGTTGAAGGTATTTGGATGTCGATGCTTTCCTTATCTTAGAGATCATGCATCAAATAAACTACAACCTAGATCTTTACCTTATGTCTTTATGGGTTATAGCCCTATACATAAAGGTTACAAATGTTTGCATCCATCAACACAAAGAATTTATATCTCAAGACATGTGGTTTTTGATGAAAACTTTTTACCATATACTAATCTTACTAATATTTCTAAAAGTGTGAATACAGAAGGAGAGCTCAGCAGATATCCAGATTCTGACGAATGGTTCCGGGCATCACATAATTTACAACCTACAAAGGACATTCCTAACATAGATGATTCAAGTAGCTTAAGAGCTAACTTTCTTGATGACACAATCAGCCAAGGAGGGTCGGAGGATCTTGAAAGGATGGAAGGACCTCAAATTGACAACCTTTCAGATTCAAGTCAAATAAATGAAACTTATGAGCCACAATCTGGAGTAGAGGCAGAAAATGCGTCAATACCTTCAAGCTCTCTAGATATTAAATCTACAAATTGTCTTCTTAGAGAGAGGAGTCAAGATGCAACTGGCATAATGGGACAAAACAGATCACCTCTTCTTCAACATGATATGATTGAACCAAGGGTAGTTGGAGTCTCACCGCCACCACACAACAGTAGCTCATCATCGATTCATCCTATGCAGACTAGATCTAAAACGGGGAACCATACGGGACATGTCAAAACCAATTTCACAAAGCATGCTCAAACAATGATAACTAATGATCCTCCTTCACGTGTTTCAGGTCTTGACATTCAAGAACCAAAATTAGTTAAGAGAGCACTTTAAATACCACATTGGGTTGCAGCTATGCGTGAAGAGCTAGATGCCTTGCGGAAAAACAATACTTGGGAGTTAGTTCCTCGTCCATCTGATGCTAATATTGTAGGATCCAAATGGGTCTTCGAGACAAAATTGAATTCGGATGGTTCGGTGGAGAGGTTTAAAGCACGTTTAGTGGCAAAAGGGTTCTCTCAAATTCTAGGTCAAGACTTTGATGAGACCTTTAGCCCAGTACTTAAACCCACCACACTCCGCCTAGTGATTGCTTTGGCAACTACTCAAGAGTGGTAGTTGCATCAACTTGACATAAAAAATGCATTTCTTCATGGCATGCTTAAAGAGACTGTATATATGACACAGCCCCCTGGTTTCTGAGACCCTTAACATCCTAACCATGTTTGTCTATTGCACAAGTCTATTTATGGCCTCAAATAGGCCCCTCGTGCCTGGTTTGATAGGTTTACATTGCATCTTTTACAAATGGGGTTGTACTGTAGTCCTGTTGATTCCACTTTTTTTATTCTTCGAAATTCAAAAGGTATTGCTTTGCTTTTATTATATGTTGATGATATTGTTCTAACAGCCAATACAAATAAATTGTTACAGGACATCATTACCAATCTAAGTAAGGAGTTTGCACTCAAAGACTTAGGCCCACTCCATTACTTCCTTGGTATAGAGGTGAACACTTTCCCTGGAGGAATAATCCTCTCTCAAAACAAATATGCTTGTGACCTGCTAAATTGAGCTTCTATGTTGGATTCATCTTCTATTTCTACACCTCTTGTTGTCAAGGAGTCTACCACCCCCCGGGATGCCGAACTAATAGATGCTACAACGTATAGAAGCATTGTAGGAGCACTTCCATACTTGACCATCACAAGGATAAACATTTGCCATGCTGTTAATCGAGTATGCCAGTTTATGCAAGCCCCCACAGTTGCTCATCTTCGTCAAGTCAAGAGGATTTTGAGATATCTCAAGGGCATTACCAACTATGGCTTACGCTTCTTGAAATAGAGTACTTTGTCTCTTATTGGGTTCTGTGATGCTGACTGGGCTGGATGCTCTATCACTCGCCGCAGTACTACTGGGTTTTGTATATTCCTTGGGGCCAATTGCATCTCTTGGTCATCAAAGAAACAATCAACAGTGGCTCGGTCAACAGCAGAAGTAGAATACAAGGCACTTGCCTCCACTGCAACTGAACTGGTCTGGATCACTTACCTCCTTCGTGACATTGGAGTCTCCCTACACTCACCCCCTCAATTATTCTCAGATAACATCAGTGCCTTGCATATGTCCATTAATCTCGTATTTCAGGCCTGAACGAAGCACATAAAAATGGATTTCCATTTTGTATGGGAAAAAGTGGCTATCGGCACCCTCGTCACTTGGTACATTCCTAGCACTGATCAAATAGCAGATATCCTCACCAAACCCTTGCTTAAACGTCAACATGCACTTTTTCTTGGAGTTGCTCCATCATCCCACTCCAGCTTGAGGGGGAGTATGAAGGCCTGTACAACATATCAAGATCATGATCCTGCAAACAAGGAAAGTTCTATGACAAACAATCAAGAAGGAAAGCCAAAGAAATCTTCCATTCAATGTAGAAACTCTCAATCAAAGCTGAAAATATTCAATCACAGCAATGGACTCAATCATAGCAAGAAGTCACAATTAAGACTAATTGCAATAACTTAGGATTTTACTGTTGGATGTAATTACATATATATTTGTACCAAGTTAGATTAAAATACAAGCTCAGTATTCTTATTCTCTATATTCCTCTTCAAATTCTTTCATAGTTGACAGCAACATGGAGCTTCACATGGGCAACAGGAGATGACAGAAAACTTATCATTTTAGTCAATGGTTTAGGTAGTTAGTAATTATTGTATTAAGTAAAAAAATATTATTATTTTATGTGTAGCCTTCCTCTATAAAAAGGAAGGTAGAAATTGATGAAAATTGAGAAAGAGAAAGTATGGTTTTTCCTCTCCGGTTGGGTGAATGTCTGCTTCCTTCCATGTTTATGGCTTTATGTTCTATGTTATATTGTGTTGTTTCTGCTATAAATAGCAGAATATCAACGGAAGAAAATGGGTTCTAACCTCACCAAAAGAGGGAACTTCGGGTGTCTCTACTTCTCCAAGTCCTCTCTCAATCCCCCCTTCTCCTTCCTTCTTACCACCCAAAATCCAACATGGTATCATAGTTGAATTCTTGAGGGATCTGTGAGAGTTTGTTTTTTGAGGGAACACTAGAAAAAACCCACCGTTCTCATTGTTTTCAGACGGTTCTTCTTGTGAAACCCCTTTTGCTTGGCCAAAATCTTGCAGCTAAAAAAGTTGTGAAGATGGAGGCATACGTTAGTCCCACCATGGGAGATGTCAAGGAGAGGAAAACTGGATTCAAAGTGAAGGTGTTCATGTTTGTTGCCAAAATCAATCCAAAAGGCAAATCATGGTCGATGGAATGGGAAATTGAGCACAAGAACTCAGTTTCATGGTATATTCTTCATCCATCTTTCATGTTTGATATGGATATGTTTTGAGTTTTCCAAGAAAACTCTTCATGGATGTGGCTTTGATGTTCCAAACTCCCATGGCTTCATGGCAAAAAATGTTTGATGGAGATGACGGTAAAGGAAAACTGAGCACAACATCTCAGTTTCATTGTTTGTTCTTCTACCATCTTTTATGTTTGTATTTCTGAATGTTATGAGTGTTTTTTCAGAAAAAAAAAAAAAAACTCTTCATGTTTATGTATTTGTGAACTCCATCACTTTATGGCAAAGAAGTTTGGTGGAGGAGCAAAAATCACAACTCCAAAATGTATTGAAGCAGCAAAGATCCATGGACAAAGCTGCTGCAATGGTGGAGTTGCAGAAAATGTTTAAGGCTCCAGAATCTGTTCAAACTGCAAAAATCTAACAAATATGAAGCTGATTTGCAGGAGGAGCTAAAATATTTAAGAATATGATAGTTGGCAGCAAATAACAAACGAAACCAAGGCACAAAGAACTGAAAATGACAGAGCAATGTTCTAAAAGTAAAATTTTGTTTCTATAGCTTTAATGCCAAGGCAGAGTTTGGTGGAGCTATGGCATGAAAGCTGAAAATGCAATCAAATGAAATCTGCTAAACGATGTTGCAACATGACTACACAATAGCTGACAGCAACATGGAGCTTCACATGGCAACAAGAGATGACAGAAAGCTTCATCATTTTAGTCAATGGTTTAGGTAGCTAATAATTATTGTTTTTAGTAAAAAAATATTATTATTTTATGTGTAACCTTCCTCTATAAAAAGGAAGGAAGAAATTGATGAAAATTGAGAGACAGAGAAAGCATGGTTTTTCCTCTCCAGTTGGGTAAATGTTTGCACCCTTCCGTGTTTATGGCTTTATGTTCTATGCTATGTTGTGTTGTTTCTGCTATAAATAGCAAAATATCAATGGAAGAAAATGGGTTCTAACCTCACCAAAGCGGGAACTCAGGGTGTCTCTCCTTCTCCTCCAAGTCCTCTCTCAATGTCCCCCTTCTCCCTCCTTCTTACCACCCAAAATCCAACATTCTCCTTTATGTTTGTAGAGGCTATAATTTATTCATTCTTTCAATTTTTGCATAGATATACTATAATTCGATTGACAATTTCCTTCATTAATTCTATTTATATGGATTATATAGGAAACATATTACAAAATAACTTTGATTCTTTTGACATGGATAGTTCAAGATGTTTAATTTTTGCTCGAATGTAATCAAAAGCAATATCAAAAATCAATATGCAGCATACTGCAAAGATGAATAAGTTATTATTGTAACATTCGATAAGCACTTTGCAACTACCGAAGCAACATGAATCTCAGGAGTATGTGGAGAAAAGGTACCTTGGTGCCCAATGCAAAGAAGTTTTGAACCCTTTGTTAAATCAAATAATGTCAGTTACCCTTATTCTTGTTGATCAAAAGAAAAGAAAAAAGGTACCCTTATTCTTATCAAACGCAGCAACCTGAATAAAAATCAATTGCCGAGGATCAACGATTTCACATATTTATGTGACAGAGTAATGCTCTCATTTCAGTGAACACATTGAATCCTAAATACTATGTGTACCTCGAAAGGAAAGATATTTAGCCATTTAAGTCCCAGAACTGAGGTTAATATATACCTTGTTCCATGATCAAGCATCATGTGAATCTCGTTTCTCGAGTTGATGGCCACATTCCAGCAGGGTCTCTACCAACAATGTAAAAGCTAGCCCCTGCATTTATTTAAGATATTTCATGCCACAGGACTTCAGCCGGGCAGGCATAA